TCCAAGATAGCCTATTAAATCTTTATGTACCCATCTAAAAACGTGGCCTTTTAAAACATATGAGCATCCAGCAGCTCCCATTGAATTTAGCTGAATCTGTTAGCCTTTGGGTCTGGAATACACATATAGACATAATTAGGTACCCAGTAAATGCTTTATGTGTTTCTTTTTTTGGATGGGGGGGGGGCTTAATTATAGGTGCACAGTGAAATTAGAGGCTTGTCTTGTTTTTTTACATTAGTGGTCCCACATTGTTTGGCAGCCTGTGTTTTGGGTGTTTTTAAAAGATTTTTATTGGCCTTAATTTTATCATAATTATTGTGAAAGTTCATAGAGATTTTGATGAGTGCTTCTGTCTGCTTAGAAATCAAACTAAATATACTAGAGTAGGAGCTGAAATAGCAATAAAAACAGCATAAAAATGAGTGTGTGTGTGTGTGTGTCTGTAGACAGTGAACTTTTAGGCTACATCTACACTGCCAGTTTTGCTGGCAGTGAGTATGCAAATGAGGCACACATTCGCATATCACATGCCTCATTTGCATAATTTATGCACACTGTTTTTGTGCAAAGGGTTTTTGCAGAGGGAAAAAAAAGTAGTGTGGACTTTTTTGAGGGCTCAAAACCCCCCATTTTCCATAAGATCCTTATGCCACTCCCGGATCTTGCGCAAAATGGGGTTTTTGCGCCAAAAAAAAAGTCCACACTACTTTTTTTTTCCACAAAAACGCTTTGCACAAAAATGGTTTGCATAAATTATGCAAACGAGGCACAACAATATGCCAACCAGTGCCTCATTTGCATACTCACTGCTGGCAAACCGGGCTTGATTTGCATAATTTATGGAAGCCAGCAAAACTGGCAGCGTAGACATAGCCTAAGTATAAAATGGATTGCAACCATCGTTGTTTTATGGTGTATAAAGAACTTGAGGATTTTGAATTTTTTTCAAAGTTTTTGAATTTTTTTAAAGGCTTGTGTCTTGTTTTATCATGGATATACCAGGAAGTCAAGTCTCATCTTCCCTCTGTTTGCTGGAGGATTTCTTTGATGATTGAGAGATGTGATTGGGGAGCTTTGTTGGCCCATAAAAGTTGGGATGGAACTGTTGAATATTTAACAAGAAAGCTTTTCCCCTAGCTACTATTTTCTCAGTTCTTTATAAACATAACATAACTTCCCATTCCACACAATCAGGGATCATTTGCATATTTTTACTGATGTTATAAATCTCCTGCTTCTCCAATCATCCATACCATCTTTTAAGAAAAGCGTGGTAGAAATGAACTAATATCCCTTCTCCAAATTTGTCAGTCTACTGTCAACATAAAGACGTGCAAAATCACAAACTTATTTTGTTGTTTTGTAGATGACATTTAAAAGTTGGTGAAATACATGTTTGTAATCACGACAGTAAACTGTCAGTCTTCAGAAGCAATAGTGAAAATGCACACAGGCTCCTGGTACACATCCCAAAAATGAAATTCCTGCAAGCTGCATGGAAACTTTTTAAAGACAGTATAACAGAGGCTCAACTTAAGTATATATCCAAATTTTTTAAACAATAGTAAGAGAACTAAAAATGTGCCACAGTGGCTGAACAACAAAGTTTAAAAAAAAAAAAAAAAAAAAAAGCAGTGAGAAACAAAAAGCCATTGTTTAAAAAAGTGAAAGTTAAATGCTAGTGAGGAAAATAGAAAGATGCATAAATTCTGGCAAATGAAGTGTGAAAATATAATTAGGAAGGCCAAGAAAGAATTTGAAGAACAGCTGGCCAAAAACTCAAAAATTAATAGCAAAAAAAAATATTAAAGTACATCAGAAGCAGAAAGCCTGCTAAATAACCAGTGGGGCCGCGGGATGATCAAGATGCTAAAGGAACACTCAAGGACTATAAGTCTGTAGCTGAGAAACTAAATTAATTCTTTGCATCGATTTTTCTGGCAGGCAGAGGACATGAAGGAGATTCTCAAATGTGAGCCATTCTTTTTGGGTGATAAATCAGAAGAACTGTCCCAGATTGAGGTGTCTTTAGAGTAGGCTTTAGAACAAAACGATAGACTAAACAGTAGTAAGTCATCAGGACTAGATGACATTCACTCAAGAGTTCTGAAGGAACTCAAATGTGAAATTGCAGCATTACTAACTGTGGCTTTTTAACCTGTCCTTTAAATCAGCTTCTGTACCAAATGACTGCAAAATAGCTAATATGACACATGACACCAATTTTTAAAAAGGACTCCAGAGTAGGGATATAAGCAACGACTTGACTAGTCAACTACTCGATACGCATAAGCTTATTGGATAGTTGAGTAGTCACTCAGCTAGTCACTTCCCTCCCCCCTTGCTGCCTCTATTAGAAAGAGGCAGCAAAGTGCGGGGAGCAGGAGCTGATGTTGGGGGAGTCAGCTTAAAAGCTGGTTCCTCTCAGCACCATCTCTGTGGGCGGCAGAGGTGGCAGAGGTGCATCCCTCTTGCTGCGCCTTTCTCTTTGAAATGTACAAGAGCTGCTCGCGGTCGGCTCTTGTATATTTCAAAGGGAGAAGTGCAGCAGGATAGTGAGTGCCCACCCCCATTGACTAATTGGGTATTTGATGGAAATTCCATCAACTACTCGATTAGTTGATAAATTGAAATTTTACATCCATACTCCAGCAGTAATCCTGGCAATTATAAGCCATAAGTATAACTTTAGTACCAGACAAATTAGTTGAAACTATAGTAAAGAACAGAATTGTCAGACACATAGATGAACAAAATTTTCTGGGAAGCATCAACATGGCTTTTGTAAAGAGAAATCATGCTTCACCAATCTACTGGAATTCTCTGAGTGGTCAGCAAGCATGAAAACAAAGGGAACATAGTGGCTATAGTATATCTAGATTTCCAGAAAGCTTTTGACAAGGTCCCTTACCAAAGGCTCTTACGTAAAGTAAGTTGTCATGGGATAAGAGGGAGGGTCCTCTCATGGATTCATTACTGATTAAAGATAGGAAACAAAGGGTAGGAATAAATAGTTTTCAGAATGGAGAGGTAACTATTGCTGTCCTGTGCGTCTGTACTGGGCCCAGTCCTGTTCAACATATTCAAATTGTCTGGAAAAAGGGGTCGTTAGTGAGGTAGCAAAATTTGCAGGAAAATTAGCAAAAATTGCTGAAGATAGTTCCATCCACAACAGACTGCAAAGAGCTTCAAAAGGATCTCACAAAATGTGGTGGTCAGCAAAATGACAGAAGAAATGTAATGGTGATAAATGCAAAATAATGTATGCTGGAAAACATAATTCCAGCAGCACACATAAAATGATGGAGTCAAAATTAGCTGTTACCACGTAAGAGAGAAATCTTGGAATCATTGTGGATAGTTCTCTGAAAACATCCATTCAATGTGCTGCAGCAGTAAAAAAGCAAACAATGTGGGGAATCATTAGAAAAAGGATATATAACAAGACAGGAAATATCAAATTGTGTCTATATAAATCCATGGTATGCCCACATTTTGAATACTGTATGCACATGTGGTAACTTCATATCAAAAAGATACATTCGAATTGAAAAAGATTCAGAAAAGAGCAATACAAAGTAGGGGATTTGGATTGGCTGCCATATTAAGAGAGATTAATGAGACTGGGGCTTTACAACTTGGAAAGAGACTGCGAGGTGGAGACATGATAGAGATCCAAAAAATCAAGACTGGTATGGAGGAAGTATATAAGGAAATGTTATTTACTCATTCCCATGACACAAGAACAAGGAATCACCAAATGAAATTAAAAGGTAACAAGTTTAAAACAAAGAAAAAAGTATTTCTTCACACAATGCACAGTTTGTCTGTGAAACTCACTGGCTGAGGATGTTGTGAATGCCAGGACTTGAATAGGGTTCAAAAAGAGCTAAATAAATTCATGGAGGATAAGTCTATCAATGACTATTTGCCAGGATGAGCAGAGTTGGGTGTCCTAGCCTCTGTTTGTCAGGGGTGAGAATGGGTGACAGATGATGTATCATGTGATGATTACCTAGTCTTCATTCCCTCTGGGGCACCAGGCATTGGCTACTGTTAGAAGACAGAATACAGAGCTAGATGGACCTTTGTTCTGACCAAGTATGGCTGTTTTTGTGACATTAATTTATTAGCTTTGTGAAAGAGAGCAGAATATTCTATCTAGATTCAAAATAGTTTATACTAATAATCCTATTGCTGAGGCATGTGGGAGGTATGAAACTAAGGGGTGATATGATAGAGGTCTATGAAATCATGACTGGTGTAGAAAGAGTGAATAAGGAAAAGTTATTTACTTATTCCCACAATATATGAACTGGGGATCACCAAATGAAATTAATAGGCAGCAGGTTTAAAACAAACAAAAGAAAGTTTTTCTTCACTCAGCACACAGTCAACCTGTGGAACTCCTTGCCAGAGGATGCGGTAAGACTAGAACTTTAATGGGGTCAAAAAAGAGCTAGGTCGATTCATGGAGATTAGGTCCATCAATGGCTAGTAGCCAGGATGAGTAGGATTGGTATCCCTAGCCTCTACTTCTCTGGAAATGGGAGACGGGAGGGATCACATGAGGATTTCCTGTTGTGATCCCTCCCTTTGGGGCATCTGGTATTGGCCACTGTCGGCAGACAGGATACTGGGCTAGATGGACCTTTGGTCTGACTCTGTATGGCCGTTCTTATGTTCCTATGCAAGGTCTTAGTCTAAAAAATAATGGTCAGATAACACATATACATTAGTATAGGAAACAGCTTTTTGGATAGAGAACTTAAGTATAAATGCTGAATAGTGAAGGTATGAATTCCATGAAATCTGAATAATTTTAAAAAGATCATCTTAAATACTACTACAAGGGGGAAGTATTACAGAAACATGACTGAGTCTAATGAGTGAAGAAACATTTTGAGAGAAATTTGTTTTATTTTAGACTTCCCTAACCATTTATATGAGGTAAATGTGCAAACTCTTATCCTGATTCTGTTATTTCTATACTGTAGGTTAAAGCAGCAACTGGTGAGACAGTATCAGCAGAGGATCTTGGAGGGGCTGATCTTCACTGCCGGTAAATAAAAGAAACCTATTACAATTTAAAACAATGAATAGTCCTGTGACACTGTAGTGACTATCCAAAATATATAAAATCATGAATTTTCATGGGCAAAACCCATTTCATCAGATGAATTGGAGTGGAAATAACGGAAACCAATATATATATATATATATATA